TTCTGTCACACAAAAATTAGGATTTTCAAATACATTGAAACCTCCGGAAACTTGCATGAGGCATAACAGGAAAAAATTGGTCACAGCTGGTTTAGAACTTTCGCTTTTCCAATCTTTACAGGCTTTCCAATCATTCACGGTCGGGTAAAGCTTTTTCGAGTTCCCAAATGGTCAGACTCAAGCTGCAAAATAGTGGTATTCCCACCATACCGCTTCTATCCGAACAAAGAAGTTCAAGTGCAGATCACCCTTAGTCATATGAACCTGAATGACTCCGACACGGTGCATCATGCTATCACATTTTGGACAGAAAAAGTCAACAATCAAAATTTTACAGTCTGCGCAATGCAATCTGGGAGGAATGGAAACAACTTCAATCCTTTCGCCACCATTGATTGGATGGCGTACCAAGGAGCACCCCCCGAGGGAATGACGGGAAGAATCAAGATGACAAAATGGTGGTCAGTAACGAATTGTGCAGATGTGACGTTTCAAAAGGTAAGTTACTATTAAAATAGTTGTATGTATCCAGATAATTGTTTTATTCATCCGGGTTCATTCTCGTCTCATTGGCTTAAATGAGGATGAAAACGTGCGAAATTTGCAAGAAGGTATCGCGCTTCATACATTCCTCACACAACACGCCTAGTCGGCATATTTCGGACAATATCGGCGACAACTTTCCCAAACAAGTGAAAATGTGTGAAATGCAGACTTTCGTGTTCTCGATTTGACGTCACATTATCCACTAGAGCCATTCCTCTTTAAACTCGGTCGTGGGGCAAGATGGCAGCCGATTTTCTGCATTTTGACTAGGCACAGAAAATTAAAGATTTAAGCAAATTAAAAAATTTTTGCACAGAAATACTCCAAAAAATAAGCTTATTTCGTTAAGCGAAAAAAGTTTTGGGTTTAGGTGCACTTTAAAAGCAAAGTAATGCTGATCTCAGCTGGGCAAAGGACACTTGCCCTGATCCATGACATGGTAGTCGCATAGCTTTCGCCCTTCTTTGTAGCAACTAGCTCAGCAAGTCTATTTTGGTATCGTTCACATTCCACCGCCATTTTACCTGTCGTGCTAAAAATAATGGCGTGAATGTAGTGTTGGGAGTTGTACGACTCGCTTAGGAAAATTAACCAGAGGTACTAGGAATCTGTACTTTTCTTTAATTCTCTTACAAAAGAGTTGACTTCTACCACATTGACGCTTTCTTTCTCTCTCCTCTAGCGAGAGGTACCAACACTTTAGGAAAACCGTAGACATGTTTGGGTTAGCTGACTGTAAGAGTTTCCATGGTGTAACCGTTATTTTGCAACGGGGGAAATTGGGTGGGTCGCTCCGCAGTACTTGGCGAGCACCAAGGAACTAATTAAACGCCAACGATCGAGCTGCGCACAGGAATCGAGCGCGCAAACAGGAATTTCGGTGTGTGCAAAACTCAAGGTCAGTTTTACCAACCAAAACAACACCACCTATGAAACTGATTATTCTCAACCATAACAAGCGATTAAAATGTCTGACACGGTAAAAAGGAAATCCGCGAACTGAGTCAAGTTCAAGTACACACTAAAAATAAAAGATCAAAACTATAAAACTACCAAAATAACACGTAGGCAAAAAAGGCAAGGCTTAACAAAACAAAAAGCGAAACTGAAAAAGCCTCAAAATAACGCATTCCAACTCACTTTACAACAGTAGCTTGCTCTACTTCTAACACACGGCTTGCGTACTGACGCTTCTTCTCTGTTTCGTGCTGCCTGAATGTCTGGTCTGGATCCATATCGCTATAGGTGTCTGCATTTGGGTGGCACACTCTCACATCAGAAAAAGCCGACCTCTGCCTCTCCCAGAATTCCCCAGCAACTATATCCAGTCGTGCATTAGGGTCGGTGTTAGCTCCCCTATTCAACTCTTCTCCTGAAATGTCTTGCAAAACTGGTTCGATTTCAACACCATTTCAACAATATTGCATATCATGCGAAGCAGTTTCGGCTCCAAATCTCTCAATTCATTATGGCACTGTACGATAAATCTGCCCCGTTTGCATATCGTAGCATGATCCACAATGAAGATGTCCCCGCAAACACAAAGAGAGGGCGTATCAGGAACTTCTCAGTCGTTGCCCGAGCTTCACAGCGTCTCGAAACTTAGTCTTGTTTAAAATCAAAATTCATATCTTTAATTGGCAAAACAGTAAGCCAACTAGAAGCACCCTTCTGAGTGGCAAGGTCCACAGCTCTCAAATCAGAAATCGAGCGCTTCACCTCATCAAGTTTTTACTTCAAATACTGATTTTTCATTTGGCGCATCTCCCGTTGCCCAACGTGTATTTCATTTTCGTCTGGTGGCTCATGCGCCTGTAATTCTGTTTTTAAACATGTTGGGCTAATGGACCAGCGATATTAGCCGATGCTACATACTCTATGGCCGCTACTTGACACGGATTTATTAGGCCCAAGCCTAACATTCTCGCTGGCAGCGCCAGCAGCTCGCGTTCACCTTGTGTACATTTGTGACGTGTAATAGACGGTATTAGGGAATCAGCTATTGCACGCTTCAGAGGTGCGAGTAGATCCTATCTGTCAGGAAGAATTCTCATAAAGTACGCCCAGTGGTGTTTTAATCTAAAAGCAAACACTGGGTAGTAAGCCAGCTGGGGCTGCGACAGAGCAAACTTAGCACATTTTGTCACCTGCCCTACCCATTCCGAGACTTTATCGTTTACGCACTGCTCAAGATAAGACCTGGAGCCCATAATAATAATAATGATAATAATAATAATGATAATAATAATAATGATAATAACAACAATCTTTATCATTATTATTATAACTATAACGATAATGATGATAATAAAAAGATGCTCGGTAAAAACGGTTAACACAGACTGCAATTTTCTAAAATTTGACATCATTTTAATAGTTGATCCCACTGCAAATTAATAATGATTCAGATGACTTTGTAAAGATCAATGCAGACCAAACTCAATTTAAAAAAATCTGCCAGAATTTAGTCAGATTTGTGATGAAATTGTGTATTTCCATGTGTTTAGGACAAGTTTAAGGATACACCAGTTGTTCTTGTGACATCTGATCACCAAAGAAGTGGAAAGAAACACGACGCTGCGTTGATCTGGACAGAAGATGTGACAACGGACTCGTTCAAGGCTTGTTTGCGGGAACTGCAAAACTTTGACGGCAAACATCAAGACATTTATGTGGTATGTGATATGCTTTCTCTTTGCTTTAAAATCAATGAAGCTCTGAGATTGAGGATATTTTCTTCAGTCTCACCAGGGTATCAGCTTAATTCAGTATTATGTTACGGTATTTTCCAAACCGCCAGAAAGATATAACTCGTACAACTCAACTACTTTATTGACTGACGTAATAACTACGAAGCGATATCGACAACCAGTACAATAACTATCTTTTTCACTTAGCTACGGAGCGATATAAATACTAATACAATCAGTATCCTTATAACTTAGAGCCCTTTACAAATAATATCACTTAAATCTCAGTGTACTACCGCACAACTCACAGTTCTCTTGAAAATCTTTAACAAA